AGGGAAGGGGGCGCTGTTTTAATCGTGTGCTTGCATTTTCAAGATGGCGGAGGTTCACTTTTTCTTGATCGTCGAAACTGTATTGCTTTTTGGTGCGTCACTATGTGGATTCATTGCTTCGATAACTATAGGTGTTACACGGGTACGTATAAGCATGCTATTGAGACGTTGTAGTAACTAAAACAAAACATTACGCCCTGTAGACACTATCGAGACACTTGTGATTTGAAAGCATTATCGCGTACGTACGTGACCGAGATAGCGTAATAATAAATAGCTTGGTGTGACCAACAACCTATTGAGACGCTTACCAGGTTGTCTAGGTGCGGCTCTAAATAAGCACTTTATGATATCCGTGTGCTACCCTCTAAATTTGGATCGTTAAAATGATCCTCATCACACAATTTCACTAATTATGAAATGTACCTTCTGGAAATGTGTATTAAATATTTGAAACTGACTAGTTTGTTTATAAAACTTTTGTTTTATATTATATTTTTAAGAGAGCTATGCTGTAAATGTGTCTTCTAGCGGATAATTTAAATGTGCTATAATAATAAATTGGCCACTCGCAATGATTTATGCTTCCCACCTGCACATGCTCAGTAAATCGATATCCAACTTATACCAAAAATAGATGTCTGCATGTGACTGATAACAATTTTGTGTTTTAGGATAAACTCGGTGGTTGTCCCTTGTATGGAGAGATTAGTTGGTATAATGCTACAGCCCCTACGCTTGATCACTTTGGTTCCTCATCGTCATGTAATTTTTGTGTTGGTGTACAAGTAATAGCAGCACTGTATGCCTTGGGATTCGCTTTTTTTCACATCTATGTTCTCATAAAGAGAGAAGATAAGTAAGTTGTTAACTTTTGCTGATTGTAATGAAAAAAAAAAAACGTAGGTGAAGCTGTTGACACTCTTGGTGCAACAAAGGCATTCCTTTCATCTTTCTAAATATTTATAAATTTCACTATTCAAATTGAAATGAGCTATTGGTCGATTGAATAACATTGTAATATTTTCAGTTGACATTGTTACGTACTGTGCTTGTTGATTGGCTGATTGTATTTGACTGCCACTGAAATTTTTAAATATTTTTAAAGATGAAGATATGCCTTTGTCACACCAAGAGTAGTTAATTCTTTTACTTTACATAGTGTCATGTATATAGACATCCCAATGAATGCAGTGTAATTTCTATTTCCACAGAGATTGCATACCCTTTAGCTACTAAACTAAAAATAATTTGGTTTAAAGGGGAACTAAATAGAGCCCAATTTGGTGTATGTATTTATCAAGTTATGTATATTGATTATAAATTTGAAAAAAAAAATTAAAAAAAATGATTATCTTCAGAGTTATGATGATTTAAATATGAGAAACCATAAACCTGCGAAGGACTTCCGTTTGCGCCATCTTGCCATTAAAAAAACCTGCCCTCATGAGGTATAAACAGGAAAGGTAACAAAGCATGATGACGAAATAGTATCTGATTAAATATAAACATCTTAGGGAGCCATAGTTGGCTGGACTGGTGAAGTGACTTCTAGTCTAGGTTGTTTTGACTTTTAAGTTAATGTTATTTACATTGTAATCAACATACAAACATGGATGTGCGATTGATCGAGACTGGCATTTGTTTTTGTCTAACTGTCTAATAAATGCTGTTTCCGGTACTGCACTGTGCGTTCAAATTATTTCTAAGTCTGGATGCTGGAGTATGCAATCGTAGGGTGGTGGTGGATACATTTTCGTCCATGTATTCACGGGGATGCACTGGCAAATCATGGGACAATTGTCAGAGGAACACCAAGCAGTTTTGAAATAAAACTATCATCCGAACAAGGGGCATCGTCGACAATATACTCTCATCACTCACACTGGACTGATCTGAATCTTCACATTATACCGTACTTTCCTGATCATAAGCCCGGAGGCATGAACACGTAAGAGAAAAGTAAGGGATGAGCTTATACTCGAGGACCATCTCAGAAAAGATGATTTTGTTTTGGGGTTAAACACTGTAACCATCTTGCCAACAATGAAAAATTATCCATAAAATTTATTCGTTCACCAAAAAAACACACACATTTTATTACAGTACGATTTACATACCGTCTGAATTTACGTTGAAATAATGGGTAGGGTCTGTGGGGGAACAGTCAAAGGCAGTTATCACTATCTTCGTTTTGGTATGTTTTCGATCGTACTCAAACTCTCGATGCAAAGCAATGTTTCACCTTGAGGTTTTTCAGCACGATTTGACCTGAAACAACTTCCTTTGACCTAACAGGTCATGTCTTTCATTAACCAATCAAAAAGATCTGTCGTAATGATGAAATTTTTCGATTATTGACGATGATTTTTTAACGCAATGCGGAAGTGAATTACCGAATTGTTAAAATGTAGCACTAATTGCAAAGAAAAAACAACGATTTTTTTCCCTAAGAACTGGTGATTCGCAATTTCCGAAAAGTAAACAACGGTTAATAGTAACCATGGGTAAACAGTTGTGGAGGAAGAATTTAAACATCTTTCACGGTCGCCAACATGTCGTCATTCAAACCCTAGGCCTTTCATGATAGTCTCAAAGTAAATCATGCCCAATAACCAGGTACACGACTTAACGATCACATTTTTGGCTTCTCGAAACCTACTACTCAAAGAAATATGGAATTGGATTACTCGAGTATTGCAACATCGGGGTTCATCCTGAGTAAATGACAGAATAGAAAGGATGCGAACCACGTTGAGTTTTCTCATAAAAGCATGAACCAAACCACCATGCCAATCACGATTATTATAAAATGAAACACTTTTTACATGCATATTTTAAAGAATATCGTCGACGCCCAGTAAAAACACTCTGGTCTTATAATCATGAATGCCCTCAACTCGATAAATACCTAGAAAAATAGAGGGATGGGCTTCATACTTGGAGAGGCTTAGATCGGGGAAGTACGGTACTTTAACGCAATTGGGCTTCCACACTCAGAATACTGTGGTTCAAATGCATAATGCTCTAACCCCAAAACTCTAAAAAGCACATTGTGCATATAAAAGTTGCTAGCACTTCAAATGCCTATCCAAACTACAGTTATAATTAAAACAAAATTAAATCACTGCAATATTATTTTGAATACAGTTTAGAATATACACAACTATAAATTAAGGCCGCATTTAGGTACGCTTTAATATTTCAAGATAGGAATTCATTGTTTTATTTTTGTTTATAGCAAAAAAACAAACAAAAAACAATTTTATTATTGATTGTTAATCAACAAGCATTAAATCAAGTACTCAAGATAGAATCTTATCTATGAAATATCCAGAATTTGTCATCTCATAATTTTTTACTCAATATAAATGTTTATTAGTGAAACAAAGTTGATGGTCAACTATTTTTCAAGTAATGGCCATTTTGTGTTTTTCGAACCCTACTGCCATTGGTGAAGACGTCTCCTCGTTACTTGCGTTTGTGCATGGTCAGATAGTGCAACAAATTTATATTTAGATTAAGGATGGGGTTACAGAACGCAGTGTGTAGATAATTCTATTGCTTTATATAGTAATATGTATCGTACATATTTTTCTGATGCACCCACTCAATTTAATTAATTAAATTAAATATCATCAACAGTTCTTTAAGCATGCCTGGGCAGGTCTCATTTATACTTGGCATGAAAGTCGCACATGATGGGTTACTGATACGTGTCAAGTTTGTTCTTGTTCCGTAGTGGCCATGTTGGTTTTACTTTTTATGGTCTTTAACCATTTCTCGTATATGTTTTGACCAATTTCATCAAAGTAGCTAAAGTATATGTACGTCTGAAACACACAAGTAACGTTGTACTTGAAAGTCAAACATTCATTGTATTTTGTGTTGACAAACAATCTATTTTATATGAACATTATAAGGGATCCGTATCAAACATATAAAGTAACATGATGACAAAATGAAACAAATTAATTATTTTTAAATGGCCCCAAATTTCGGCCTGTTGTTGAAGGTTACATTGTGCACATCAATGGCTTGTGTAGTGATTATCAAACATCAGTAAGTATGTTTGCAATGAATATAAATAATATGCGTAAATGTAATTTAAATTCCATTAACTATTTGATTTTAATGAAATATTCTTTTTCTGTTTTCATTTGCAGGAATACCAGAATAGTGCCACCTTTATTGGTGAATACTGGTTTGACTATCATTATTTTTATTCAGGCCTGTGTGGTCAGTGTGGGATTTTTACAGTGGTGTAAAAGCATTGAATATAAAGATGTTATATCGGAGTGAGTTGCACTTTGTGAATAATTTATTGAGTTAACCCAATAGTTAGTGAGATTCCAACTACCGGTATGTGCCTGTTCAGTCTGAGCAAACTTCTTCTGATGGTGGATATTTTATTTTTACACATCAATTTCACATCATATATATATTGCGTTATCATTGTGATAAAGCTATTTATAGTTTTTAAGCCATATAATCAATAAGTGCTTACAAATGAGCCAACCCATAATTTTGTTGAAGATGACCAGATGAAATGAATCTAAAAAACGAACCTTTTTGATGTGTACATCATCTCCAAGTATGGGCACATTGTCACATGTCACCGTGTATCAATTCATATTTACTCTTATGGTTGATTATTTACACAGATGTCGAGAGGGGCAGAGGAAACTTCTGCCATCCCGTCCTGAAATGGACTTTTCATCGTTCTTTGATTACTTGACATTAGGAGAGGTAAGTAACAAGATACAATGTCTATTCACATCCCCCTCCCACTACTACTCTGAGTTGGTTTGAGCATTTACCTACAAATCCATGATTGGATTATAACCATTGTAACATAATTTAAAATTCAATCAATATTTTGGGTTGACATCAGAATCCATGTCATCAAGAGAAATGGCTCTTTCTGATTATTAAATCTTTTCTTACGTTTTTTTTTATCTTGGCATCCTATACCAAATTTCCATGTGTAATTCTCAAAATATTTGTCCTATACAACGTCTATCAAAAACCTTGCCCAAGGCACTGTTTTGGCAGGGGAGCAATCAAAAACTGTTCATTTAAGTCACAACAAATATCTAGTACAGTTGAAAATATTTTTTTGTATCATTCCAACTCACCTTGAGTCAAATTTATGTTTTTTGTAGTCACTGACAATAAGCTGTTATCCCATAAAAATGCTAAAATTAGAATACAAATGTACTAGTGACATATTCCATCCTTGTTAACCATGTGACTACAATTTATTAACCTGTCATGACTATTGGATTGAAGGAGTGTTAACGAAAAATTGACAAGAGATAGGGTGTTCGTTTGGATCCAGTACTTGACCAAGAATATAATCCTTTCTTTAAAAGATTGTTCAGAGCAGTGAGTTTATATTAGACAAATACAGTAATACCCCTCTTCTTCTTACCTGTCTATGTGTACTTGACATATGTATACTACTGTTATGCTCCCTAGTTTTCAACTCTACTTGTCAAACAACAGATAGCTATAATTGTAAACTACAGCTGTAACTGATTTAAATTTGTAATAAATGACTTATCATTAGTCTCACATGTCAGCGTGTACAAGCTTAGAAATTGTGTCCTATTGATGAATCAGTATAGATGTCAAGAATAGGACTCTTCTCAGAGTGTCATCATCTTTTCATTTATATCCAAATAATATTTAATCATCTTCTCATTAATCGATCAATATTGACTCTACACTAACAATTATAATTATCTTTTTATATATAAATGCTAATTTCTCTTTTTAAAAAAAACTTTCTGATATTCCATGTTACCATTTCACTTCATTTAGGTTGGTTGTTTAGTTTGTTAGCATGAAAAGACTTTGGTGTTGGTGCAGGTTGCCTTTTTTGCTACTATACATTAGAAATGAACACACCTATCAGAAAATCTTTTACATTTCTTTCATCATATCTTAAATACCAAAATGTAATGGCTTATTATGTTCCATCAACGATTACCGTAGATAAACTTGTGCAATTTTGTACCGTTTTCCTCTCTGCCATTCCTTCAGAGCACTTCTTGGTTTTCGTTCCTATTCTGGGGTGCATTAGTGGTCGTCTGCATCGTCCGACGTTGCCGTGACAACAGCATGCCTGATGACCATACAGCTGAAGAAAGAAAACCAGTGTTGGGACCTTCTTTAACACCTTCGCCATCTGTCCCGTCGTAAATGACCAAGCAGTTGCTGAATGCAGAGACATTAGGGGATTCCGCATGGCATGGAGTATATCTCTTCAAGTGGTCGGTTTTGAACGTCCTCGTAGTTTATTTTTATGCATGTCTCAGCTATAGGCGGTGGAACATGGGTTTATTGTTGTGCATTTCACTTGTATCACATGCATACACATGGGAAGTGAATTGAAGTGGGAATGTTGTGACGTGTAATATCGTTGTCATTTCACGCAAATCATGTATTTATCTGCATCAATCTTTACGTACTTATTGCTTACAGTATGAATATTAGGCATCTTAGGCAGTTCACATTACAATAGAGGATTTGTCTGCAATTTTGCAAGATTTCTCTCTATTATTTGTCTATAATCTATGTGTTTTATGATCTACATAGATTGTATGCTACTCTGCCTGTAATAATTTATTTACGAGATTACCGGTAGACTGGATGGTGTGATTTGAAACATTCACTAGAATGTGGCTGTACACTACCTTATGAAAATTATTCATATCAGTCATATGAATCATCAATATGCGTTTCTCATAGTATCTTTTCATAAAGAACAGCACCTTCTTCACATTAGTCTAGCGAAACCACAAGTTGAATCATCGTCGTTTAGTAAACTGTGTAATGTCTGTATGTTATTTTTTTTAAATAAAAAGCCTTTTTTATCGTCAGTATTTGTCATATATAAGAATCAAATGTTTGTATATAAATGTTGATATGATAGTGTAATTATTTTATTTAATTGTGTCATTTGTTATTTTGTATGTCAATCTTGGCTTATCTCTTAATGCTTAAATTATGCATGCTGCTTCACATGCTATCTCAACACCTAACAATATGCCATCAATAAATGTGAATGTTTCTATATAAATCTATAAATTCAATCCTGAAAAGCCATAAAATATTTTATTACAACCTGAGTCCTCATTTTTCTAATGTAGATTTTTTCCTGGATATCTTGTCTGCTCTTTGGTGTACTGGCTTGTATCATCATTGGACGATGCCTGGTTAATAGAAGACGTCAACCAACAAAAGAGGCCTATACCACTTCAGAAAATGCAACTATAGCTGATCATGAGCAAATTCCAGGTGTGATTTGAGTGTTTAGCATGTCATTGTATAATCTTGGTATATTATCATTGAAATGTGACAATTTGAATATTTACTTCTGGATCTCTTCTTGCTTTCTGTGGTTGGTTTACTCTTGTGATCAGTTCAGTTTATATGCTTTATTATGGTATTTCATGCAAATGAAACAATGAGGCTCAGTTGCTACGTTTTGGGGTATGCAATGCGATTTGTAAATGTAGGAGTAAAAAATACATTAGAAGTATTAGTTGCATATGATTCCTAGTGAGAGGAGGGGGGGTTCGCTCAGCCAATGAGGAAGAATTTATTTTTGTTATTTACTTTCTTTTTGTCTAAAGTGTTTGTATTTTTTCTTGTCATAAACTGTTTTCTTTCTTTGATTGTAATAACTGAAATTCTTTTCAAACTGAATATTGGTAATAATGTCATATTTTTGTGGTTACAATAACTCAAACAACATCAAATTTGAGTTCCATTTGTATATAAAATCTTGTTTTTCATAGTATGAGTGGAAATTTTTGTTCAAAATTATCCATTTAGGAACAATGAGATATTTATGCTATGTATACCACGTCAACTTGGTGTACAAGTACAAGTAAATTGTTGTAACCCTAACATAACCCTGACATTTAATTCGTCTGTGTCATTTTTCTCACAAATGTTAGTCTACCATATTGTTAGTCAGTATGGGTAAATGTTGGCCAGTAGTTTTATTCATTACTCATGGTCGCCTGATATTATTGTCAAAGTGCACTTTTGTTCTGTTAAAATTTCGATGAATATTTTGTTCTGCCAAATTGTTTGTCCCGTATTTTTCCTGTTTAAATGTTGGCCTGTAGTTTTCCCAAATTATTTGTGGACAAACTGATAATTTTGACTTCCTATTCAAATTTGCATTCAATAAGCTCTCCCTTTTTTACCCTGTGTGCTTTTAGTGATCCTTTCTTTTAGATGATTCATAGTCATCAATTTTAATTACACCTTCCAAATTATACTTTCCATACCGAAATGAGTATCTATAAACAAAACAAGGGTCAGTTTTATAATTGTTGCTCGGTATTTGTAGTCAGTCATCCATTAATTTTTTTGTTTTTTTGTGCAAGCATGCATTGCATGATTGCTATGTTGCCCATGGATCACCATATGCTAATGTATGTCATCTCTAAATTTGTGTTTGCCTTACTGGTGTTGACATTTTTCAAACAGACTAAGGGGTCATTTCTAGATGTTGTAATAGTAATATCATGCATTTTGATGATCTCTATTTTTGTTTTGGCAGATATATTGTTGTAAAGTGACCTATCTCTAAATTACCATATTTTCTGTCATTACAAATTTGTATCACATCTTTTCAACATCAACTTCCTTTCTGTTAAAATTATATTATCTCTGTTTAATGAACAAAAGTGAAGTAAATGTGAAAAACATTTGACGCTAAATGTATAAATATATAGTAAATAGATAAATTAAATGAACAGTTGATTATTTTCATGTGACGATATACAATTAAAGGTAATTTAAGGTTGGGAATTTTGCTGTTACGTCATGTATTTCCCAACATAAGAAATATTTTTGCTAGTACTTATAGTCCACTAAGGATTCCCTTCCATATTGCTTCCAACAAACCAAAGATGTCTCTGATTGCATGGACTTAAAAATTTTCATTTCTAGATTTTTTCGTAGTATAATTAAAATGTTCTTTCTTGACTGAAGATATTTTTAACTGGATTGTTTATTCGGTACAACAAAGATTGAGCTTTTTTTCATCATACAAGATCTATTTATTATGTTTACATGTCCTGTGTCTGGACCTGACTCCATTACACAAGTTGTGTATTAGGTGATAAAATGTGTTTTTGATATGCTTGATATTTTTTGAAGCAGCTTTATATATTTATTTAATTTATCTATTTTGTTTGTACTATGTGTTGATTTGCATACATGGGCACGACTACATGCAAATTGCACATTGGGTCTTTGTAGTTAGCATCTGAATTACTGTAAAACATGTCTTTTTCGCGAATTTAACAAGAGAACTGATTAGCTAATTCAAGATGTCGCTAATGACTTTATTATACATTCAAAATGGCTGGCAAACAAAGAAATCAACAATGATTCGCTAAATCTACATTTTGCTATTACGTCATTTTACCACAATTCGCTAAAATTGCATGTTGCTTTTAAACATGTTTTACAGTAGTTTCTGACTCTTTTAGGCACAAAGCTGTGAATAAAGGTAACTACATCTGTAAGTGTAACATTGCATTTAATACACAAAGTGAAGTCGGAACCCTACTCATAGTTCACATGACAATGTTCATTGGTTTATTGTGTAAAATCATGTTATTGTCCCATGGCACAGTGTGCTACAGTGACATATTTTGGGAAACTTGTCATTTTTGTCATGGCATTTTTTGGCACCCCATCATTTTCAGACAATATTTGTTTTTCAGCATAGGTCACCAGCTTACAATTTGAGATATACCGGTAGCTCTGCCATAGGAAGCTATGGTAAAAGCGTTATAATACTGCCAAAACAGCCACTAAAATTTTTTTTTGTATTACCAGAGTACAATTTATTGCAAAATGAATAAACTCTGGGTATTTGCATCTATGAGTAAGCTTCTACCTTAAGTATCTACCAGTACTTGGGGGAAATCAACAGATTGTTGAGTTAGTTAATTTTCACTGGTATTGATTATTTTGATATTTGATCATATTTAACTGGGTTTTAAATTTTTGAGTTTTACAGTGAAATAATGAGTGTTATTGTAATTTTGATGTAGATTTGATTTAGTGGATTCTCTTACCACAACAAAAATAACAAAATTAAAAACTATTGAATAATTAATGCCCTTTACAGTGTACTGTAACCATGGAATACTTGTATATATGTACCGATAGTATGGTTGAGCGGTGGCAATGCATAGGAGGATTAGCATGCCTGGGGATTACAATTTAATTCAAATTAGGTTTTTTGTACATGTGTATTGGCATGAATTGTCATTAAATGCATGTAGGATACATTCAGTAAGACGTGCACACTGAAATTATGTTAAAACTTTCTGAAGTACTGTCTTTATGAATTTAAAAGTAGAATGTAGTGTTTGACCTGATCTTGTAAGTTCATATTTAAATGTCTTGAAATTACTTGTGAAAGTGAACCTAAGCAATGAAACAGTTATTTGTAATGTAGTAAACTTTAATGATGGTCTAGTGAGATTGATGATTACAATTGATTTATTTCCAATTTGAATCATGAAATCAAATCAACAGTAATAGAAAAATTGTTGTTTGTAGCTGATTGTTGATGTAGTATAAATTGTAGAGTGGCCTTGCTCTGAAGTACCGATATATAATAAAGCAGTTTTTTGAAACGCTTGATTTTGGTTTTATATGTGAAGGTGAGAAAATGTAATACCATACTCATCTGACTTGCGGTTCATGCTTAATTAAGTACCCAACTCCCACTTTTAATTTGTATATTGGGTAGTGCTTATGCTTGTCCACTAATAATGATGGCAACTTACAGTAGTCCTCCCCTGACTCGGCTAAATAGGCACTATCAATGAGATTGTAGGGAGGCTGACATTGATAGTTTTCCTACTTACGTCAGTGGAACGCATAAGCGTCAAGTCATTGTAAATGCACCCAACGCCACTATCTGCAGCATAAATATGTATATTCTCTTTACTTATTACTTGAAAACCGATCAATACCGAGTTCAGACTAAAGCTTTCTCATCGATGTGGTGATCCTGGTCGTGATTCTGCCACTCATTGCCATCAAAACTGCTCTGAGTCTTAGAAATGTATGATTGAGAAAAGTGTCGTGTACGCCTCTGATGTGTCTCCATAGCCGTAAAAGTCATTGAGAAGCAGTGATATTGCAAGGCAAAAGAAGTTTGGGGCATTGTCACGTCAGAGTGAATCCTTTCTGCCAGGAAATGTAATGCAGTCATTACTTCTTTTTTTTTATTGGCAAATGTACAATACTTATTCAAGTACAACTATTCATTAATTACTTCAATAATGTCTATCCATTTCTGACAATGTATATCAAGTTTATTCATATTCTAAATGATAATTAGACTTCACTAGGAGTTTGAATAAGGGAAAAATGGGGTTTGGACTACTCATTACTTTCAAATCATTTATAAGTAATGATTTCCAAATATCACTTACACAAGCTGTTCTCTTTAAAGTA